AAGAAGTTATACAGAAATTCATTGAAGAGAAGAACTCCTCAGAAAGAAGAATTGGTCAAATGGAAAAGGAGGTACAAAAGCTCACTGAAGAAAATAACTCCTTAAAAGTCAGAACTGGGCAAGTGAAAGCTAAAGACTATGACTCATTAAGAAACAACCTAAATCAAAAGTAAGAAAAAATAGAAGAAAATGTGGAATATCTCTTTGGAAAAACAACTGACTTGGAAAATAGATCCAGGAGAGATAATTTAAGAATTATTGGACTACCTGAAAGTCAAGATCAAAAAAAGAACCCAGACATCATCTCTTTCAAGAAATTATGAAGGAAAACTGCCCTGACATTCTAGAACCAGAGGGTAAAATAGAAATTCAATGAAACCACCAATTACCTCCTGAAAGAAATCCCAAAATGAAAACTCCCAGAAATATTATAGCCAAATTCCAGACCTCCCAGATGAAGGAGAAAATACTGCAAGCAGCCAAAGAGAAACAATTCAAATATAATGGAACCACAGTCAGGATAACAAAAGATTTAGCTCCTTCTACATTAAAGGACAGGAGGGCTTAGAATATGATACTCTGGAGGGCAAAAGAGCTAGGATAACAACCAATCATCTACACAGCAAAACTGAATATAATCCTCTGGGGAAAAAAAAAGAACATTTAATGAAATAGAGAATTTTCAAGCATTCTTGATGAAAAGCCCAGAGCTGAACAGAAAATCTGACTGTCAAATACAAGATTCAAAAGAAGCATAAAAAGGTAAACAGGAAAGAGAAATCATAAGGGATTCAATAAGGTTAAATTATTTATATTCCTACATGGGGAAATGATATATTTGTAACTCCTAAAGACTTTGTCATTATTATTGTAGTTAGAAGGAGTAGACATAGAAAACACAGGTGTAAGTTGAATGTGATGATATGATCATCTAAAAAAATAAAATTAAGGGATGAGAAAGAAGAATGCACAAGGAGAAGGGGAAAGAGATAAGTAGAGTGGAATACATTAGCTGACATAAAAGAAGTCTGAAAGGACAGGAGCACATGGACCTCACTCTCATCGGAATTGGCTCAAAGAGGGAATGAGAAACACACTCAGTTTCATGTAGAAATCTGTATCACCATGCAGGAAAGTAGGAAGGGAAGGGGATCAGAGAAGGGGGACAGTGAGTTGACAGAAGTGAGGGCAGTTTGGGAGAGGTAAAAGTCAGAAGTAAAACAGTTTTGATAATGGACAGAGTAAAAGGAGAGAAAGAATAGGATAAACAGGGGGGAAAGAGAATGGAGGAAAATACACAGTTGGTAATGATTACTGCGAAAAAAAATTTGTTTTACAGTGAGTTTCTCTGATAAACTTCATTCCTCAAACATATAGAAAACTGAGTCAAATTTATAGAAATAAGAGCCACTCCACAATTGATAAATGGTCAAAGGATAGGAACAGGCAGCTTTCAGACAAAGTAATCAAAGCTATCTATAGTCACATTAAAAAAATAATCTAAATCACTATTGATGAGAGAAATGCAAATTAAAACAACTCTGAGCTACTACCTCATCCCTGTAAGATCAGCTAAAATAACAGAAAAGGAAAATGACAAATGCTGGAGGGGATCTGGGAAAATTTAAACACTAATGTACTATTGGTGAAGTTGTATACGGATTAAACCATTCTGGAGAGCAATTTTGGAATTATGCCCGAAGGGCTAGAAAACCATGCATACCCTTTGACCAAGCAAGGTCTGTATACTAGGTCTGTATCCCAAAGAGATAAAAAAGGAAAAGGACCTATGTGTACAAAAATATTTATAGCAGCTTTCTAGGTGGTGGCAAAGAATTGGAAATTTAAGGGAAGTCCATCAATCGGGGAATGAATGAACAAGTTGTTTATGATTGTGATAGAATACTATTGTGCTTTAAGAAATGATGAGCAAAAAAAAAAAAGAAAGAAAGAAAAAAAGGGGGCAGCAAGGTGGCGCGGTGGATAGAGCACCAGCCCTAAAGTCAGGAAGACCTGATTTCAAATCCGGCCTCAGGCACATGACACTTACTTGGGCAAGGCACTTAACCCCAACCGTCTCTTATTAAAAAAAAAAAGAAGAAGAAGAAGAAGAAATGATGAGCTGGATGCCGAAAAACATGAAAGTGAAATGAGCAGAACCAGGAGAACATTGTACACAGTAACAGCAATATTATATGATGATCTACTATGAAACTTAGCTATTCTAGCACTACAATGATCCAAGACAATTCTGTAAGACTTAAGATGAAACGTGCCATCCACCTCCAGAGAAAGAACCAGGAGAGCCTGAATGCAGATCAAAGATATTTTTCCTTTATTTTCTTTATTTTTCTTGGGGTTGTTTTGTCTGTGTTCTTTCACAGAATGATTTATACAGAAATGTTGCATAACTATACATTATAACCTATGTCAAACTCCTTGCTTTCTCAATGTGGGGGAGGGGATGGAGGGAAAGAATTTGAAACTTCAAAATTTGTAAAAAAATTGTTAAAATTGTTTTTACATGTAATAAGCAAAAATAAAATATTAAATAAGATTTTTAACAAAAGGGGAAAAAAAGAACTAAGGGGATCAGGCTCCTTCATATATAGAGAGCATATGAATGAATTGTATCAGTTAAGCAATCAGTAAGTATTAAGTGCCTGCTCTATGCTAGGCGTTGGGCCAGCTGACCATTTGTTTTTAGTTGCTTTCCCAAATGTGGCCACCAGTTACACGGCTGGCCTCACTAGTGCTCCATCTAACATGACCAACAGAATACACAGCTGTTGAGTAGGGACAGAAGCCTAGTATATATTTCTCTGCACAAAACTAAGTCTTTTCTTTTCCACTTTTACTGGGATCAAACTGCAAATGGAACCTTAATCAAAAACCTATTCTAATTTGTTCTTCCATAGGGAAGGGAAAAAAAAAGTAGAGGACTCCAATGCTAAACCTGCTCAGTTAACTGATTCAGGATAGTTGGTAACATAATATGTTAATTATAAGGTAATTTTCAATTACGAGTTCATGAAGTAGCTTTATTTGGTCTTATAAAATAAAACCATTTTTCCCCCCACTATTTAAACAGTTACTCAAAGACTTAATGGATTCTTGGATTACATTAGGAACAAGTAAACACTCACTTTTTCGATACTAAGGCACTTTCTTACTAAGTTAATATTTACTATCAACTAATTCTGAAGCTAAATTTAGCTGTTGCACTTGAATAGTAAGAAAACTTTTTTTTTGCAAAGGAATCAATAAAACTTGTACTACAAAATCAAATTCTTGATAATATTTATAACCAAAAAAGTCTTGATGATGAAACACTATTATGGAAACTTGATTGGGTCTTTAAAATCCAGGAGCCCTATACGAGGAAAGCCTCATGGGGTCTCTTATGAATAAAGGGAACTAAATTGAGCATATATACCACTGGGGGCAGGTCTAGACTCTAAAGTCTCACTTAACTGGGTGATGGGTACAGATGGGCATATCCTTAGAGCTTTTCATCACATGAAAAGAAATAAAGAAGCACGTATTTAAATTCTCAAAAAGCATTTAATAGCATCAAGAAGCAATGAAATATTTAAAAGAATGCCAAAATAACTAGTCTTGGAAATAAAAGTAAATACAAGAGCAATTTATTTGATAAAATTTGGCATTTTGGCAAGCTGTCCCTAAAATGAAGCAGTCATTTACTTACTACTATCAATTATGAAAAGCAAAGACTCTTTCAGGAAATCTGGAAAACTAAAAAAGGTAAAAATGGTGTCATAAATCAAATATTAAAGGAGGCTCCTTACTGGTCCCAAAGAAAGATGAAATCCTAACAGAGATACATAGTTGTCAATATGTGGAAACTTCTAAAAGCTATGGATAGCAAACACGCACCTGCTTGAGAAATTCATATTATAGGCCTGCCAGGAAACCATTAGGACAGAGGGATCTCTTGGGAAGTTGCACTGAAAGGTGACAGCAATGTTTAAAAAATGGCATGTGTAAAACTTCAAAAAAAAAAAAAAAGGCAGACATTAGGACTTAAGAAACAGAAATGGCACCAAAATTTGAAATGATAAAAACATACTGAGAAGCCAGTCAATCAGAGGAGGCAGTGAAACAAAGCTAGTCCTCCTGAGGCTGGTAACTGACAGATCCTGTAAAGATACTTGCTCAGGTGACAGGGAAGAAACAGAAGCAGACAGATTCATCCAGGGCACACAAAGCAAACCCAGGGAGCAAGCTGGAACTATGTTCACACATAATACGTAGCCCACTCTCTCCGGCCTGACTGGCCTGGATAGAAACTTTTTCTACTCTTCTCCAGAGAGACACTTGGAAGAGAGATGGGAAAAAGCTTAAAGCCTCTGAATGATGTTCAAACAGAGGCCACAAAATAAAGAGGAACAGCCAGGAAATGGAAGTAACGTGCTACAGTGGAAAGAACATTGGACGACCTACGTTCAAATGCTGCCATTTATCTATGCTGGGTCTCAGTTTCCTCATCTGTAAAATGAGGGGTGGGTCTAGACAGACTCTGGGGTGCCTTCCCGATCCAGGTCTGGGATTCTATTAGTGTGACTTAGGGCTGCTCTGGATATAGCCCTTTCATAATAACCAATCCGGGCCTCAGTTTCCCCTTCTGTAAGAAGGAGAGGGTGGGTCTGCACAGCCTCTGAGGTCCCTTTCAGCTCCAGTCTAGGATTCTATTTGTGTGACTTTGGGTTGCTCTGGGTATGGTCCTTTCATAATAACCAATCTGGGCCTCAGTTTCCCCATCTGTAAGGAGGGGGCGGGTCTGCGGTCCCATTAGAGTGGTCCCGGGCTGCCCCACCTGGGGGAAGGGTCGCTCCATAACTAGTCTAGACTCAGTTTCCCCATCCGTAAGGAGAAGGGGGCGGGACTGCGGTCCCATTAGAGTGCCCCAGCCGGGGGGAGGGTCCCCGGGCGCTCCCCCGGCCCCGCGCCCCCGCTCCGGCCCGCGGGGCCCCGGTCACCTTCTGGCTGCCGGAGCCGTGGATCCGAGCGGCCCGGTCATAGACGTGGCAGCGGATCACGCTGCTGCCCAGGTCCAGCCCCAGCACATAGCCCGGCCCCGGCAGGTCGGGCGGCCCGGGGCCCTGGCTCGGGCGAACCCTCGCCTCCTGCTCCGGCGTGGCCTCGGCCTCGGCGGCGGCGGGGGTCGGCACCGACATCGCTGGGCCAGAACCACCCGTGCGGCCGCAGCTCCCGCTGCCTCAGCCACCAACCGCTCCCCAACTGCCGCTGGCGCGGCAGCCGCCGGCCCTAGCCTCGCTCGGGAGGCGGGCGGGGGTGGGGGGCGGGGCCTGGCCCCGCCCGGAGCCTGACGTCACGGGCCCCGGCCAATGAAGGCGCAGGGGCGGTGCCCGCGTCCCACGGCGCATCCTCGACTTCCCGGGCCGCGGGGTCGCCGTGGGGCCGCCGAAGGGCGCCGTGTTCCCCGCGCATGCCGGCAGTCAGCCAGCGCGGAGACGGCCCCGTGGAGAGAGGCCTGGTGTCCCGCCGCCTTCCCGGGCCCAGCCAGCCACCCCCACAGACGCTGATTAAGCACCTGTTGCATTACACCTGTGACCCGGCTGGAGCCTCACCCACAGCGGTAGGCGCCGTGAGGATCCCCATTTTACAGCTGAGGAAACTGAGGCAGGCTGCGGTTAAGTGACTCGCCCTGCCTCCGCGGCTGCAGAATGGTGGAGGATGTGTTGGATCTGCAGGCTGCCTGCCTCCAGGCCATGCCCTCCCTCAGCTGCCATCCAGCTAATCTGTCATTTATCTTGCATTTCTTTGCGGACGAGTTGCCACCCAGGGCGTGATTTATTGGCTTTATGATCGTCTTGAATTAAGAAAGTGTTAGTAATGTAGATTAAACTTAAAAGAATATGCATGTATCTACCCACCTTCCACCCCCCATCCCAGCCTGGTTGTTAAACATTTACTACCACACCCCTGTATGGGAACCATGAACAATATAAATAATATTAAACAACCTATGACCTGTAGATGAGCAGGAGGGCAGTAGAAGACTCAGGAAATGAAGTCATCACCAGACTGGAGATTTGAGGACAATAATTATTATTACTATTTTTATTTAGGACAACAACAATTGGCATTTGCGCAGTGCTTTAAGGTTTGCAAAGTGATTTACAATCATTTTCTCATTTGAACCTCCCAGAAACCCTGGCTATGCTCACCTGAGCATCTCTTGGATGTATGAAACTGGGAGCCCCTCCTAGTCATCTCAAACTCAACGGTCCAAAACAGAACTCATTGTCTCTCCTCCAAGTATGCTGGCAAAAATGGGTCCCAGGCCCAGCCCACTTGGTCATTGTTTGGGCCCTGATTGGCTCAGAGAGAATGTAAATAGAAATTATTTCTGTTTTTGGCCAGAAACCTCCTATTTATTTTTTTTACTAGGAAACGAGGCCATTCTTTGTCTCATTTCTTACCGAGCCTCAATCACTCATTGAATGTTGCCTCAATCAGACTGAGACCTGTTAAAGACCTTAGCTTAAAAAGGCTAAGGTCCCCCACTGCATGCAGGGCCATCTCCAGTCATCCTCATCTATATGTCGCCGCTGGACCCAGATGGTTCCAGAGTTGAGAGTGAGGCTGGTGACTTTGCACAGCCCTCCCTCACTTACATCCAATTCTCTTGCTTGTCATGGCATCACCTCCCTGATGTCACGGTCCTCTTCAAGAACAAAGGACAAACAACAATGGCTGTGGAAGTGGCCACCATTCTCCCAGGACCACCCTGGATTCGTCAGTGTCCTCTGTCCTACTTAATCAGCTCATTGCCAAGTCTTATCATTTTTGCCATCATATCTCTCATAGAGTTCCTCTGAATTTACCCACACAGCCACGGTGTCCTACTTCAGGTCCTCATCACCTCCCACCTGGCCCACTGCTTCTGACCTTCTAACTGATTTCCTTTTTCAACTCTGGCTTTCTCAGCCTGGAAGGTTCCCTTCCTCTAACTGGTCAGTACATCCTGGAATCCCACCACCCACCCACTCCCCTGGGCCAAAGCCAGCCAGGTGGACTCCTTCATTCCTCTCTGGGCTCTGAGACTCCTGATTCTTTTGACTTCTTTCTCCACTGTGACCTCAGCCAGGGAAATATCTTTTCAGCTTCCAGGTTGTTTTCTCCAATTGGAATATAAGCCCATTGAAGGTAGGAGCTGTCTTTCTGCTTCTACTTGTTTTCCCAGCATTTAGCAAAGTGCTGGAACATAGTGCTTAATAAATGCTTGTAGATTAAACTCAGCTGCAAAAGAGCTTTTCCTAAAGCGCGGGTGGGGGGGGGCGTTTGTTGTCATCCAACCCCACTCAGTAAACTCTAGTGGCTCCCTATTATCTCCAGGGTCAAATGCTGTTTGGGCATTTAAAAATCTTCATATTTTCTATGGGATCATATTCATTATTCCCTCTGGATAGTCTTCTGTTCTCTTTTTATCCATTCATCTATTTTTGCTTAAGTTTTTCCTTTTTCTGTAACTTGAATATAGAGACTGCTCTAGTTCTTTATTTTTTAATCTTAATTCTATTTTTTATTTTATTTTATTTTAGTTTAGTTTTTAAAATGTCTATATTTTATATTTTAATTTTTGGTTTTTTATTTTATTTTAGCTTTTTAATTTTTTCCCACTTAATAGTATTTTATTTTTTCCAATTACATGAAAAGATAGTTTTCAACATTCACTTTTATAATGTTTTGAGTTCCAAATTTTTTTCTCCCTCCTTTCCCACCCCCAACCCCCAAAGATGGTAAGTAATCTGATATAGGCTATACATATACAATCATGTTAAACATATTTCCACATTAGTCTTGTTGTGAAAGAAGAATCAGAACAAAAGGGGAAAAACTGTGAGAAAGAAAAAAAGAGAAATTAGTATGCTTCGATCTTCATTCAGACTCCATAGTTCTTTCTCTGGATATGGATAGCATTTTCCATCATGATCTCCTTTCTTTCTTTCACAATAATTCATCTGTATATCCAAATTTCTTCATATTCCTCATGCTTAGAATTTTTAAAATTTTATTTTATTTACAATTCATGGAACCAAACAAGGATTTCCATAACACCATACAATAAAAAAGATTGCACATGAAACTGCAAATCTACTATGTACAATTTGCTAGTCCCTCCAAATATAAAACAGTTATTATATAAATTTCTTTTTTCCTCCCTTTTTTTCCTTTCCTCCCCACCCTCCCTAGAGACAGCTACCATTAGACACAAATAGTTATGTATGTGAAAAATTATTCTATTCATACTTCTATTTATCAGTTCTTTTTCTGGATGCAGATAGCATCTTTCTTCATATGTCCTTAATTTTTAATTTGTGTATTTATAATAGTCAGAATCACTTAGTCACTGAAAGTAGTTCTCAAAACAATATTGCTATTTCTGTATACAATGTTCTCTTGGTTTTGCTCACATCACTTTTCATCATTTCATGTAAGTCTTTCCATGTCTTTCTAAGATCATTGAGCTCATCATTTCTTGTAGCAGTAGTATTCCATCACAATCATACACCACAACTTGTTCGACCATTTGATGGGGATCCCTGAAATTTCCAGTTCTTTGCCACTACAAAGAGAGGTAGTATAAACATCCCATTAACATTCAAAGTTATAATTACTATTTGTGAATTTCCCTCCATTTTATTTTTATTCACTATTTTCCTTCTCAGCCTCTCTTTTTACCCTATTCCTATTACTTTATCTTTTCCCCCAACCCTCCCCCACCACTTCACCCAACCTTCCAAGAGTTCCCCCCATTCCCTCCCCCACCCCCCCAATCTCTATCAGCACAACCCTCCAAAAGTCCCTCTCCCACTCTGTCCCCAGTTATCTCATCTCTCAACAGGTTCAGAGGACTTCCACACCTGATAAGTACATGTTGTTTCCTCTTCAATCCAGATAACAGTAAGGTTCCAACATTACCAGCCCTCCACCCTGACCTGCTTTCTCTGTCTTAGATCTTCCTTTCACGCCCCATTTTTATAATAAAATTTCTCCCTTTTACCTTTTCCTACCCAATTTTGTTTTTTAGAATTACCCATCATACACAACTCAGCCCCAACCTTTCTTTCAAACTACCTTAATAGTGATGACAGTTTTAAGAATAGTAATAACATTTTCATGTAAACAGTTGACTTTAATGAATACCTTATAATTAGTCTTTAATGCTTTCCTTATGTTTCTTCTGAATCTTTTCTATCAAATTTTCCATTGAGTTGTAGTCTTTTTATTACAAATACCTAAAAGTCTTTCAGTTCATCAAATATCTATTTTTTTCAGTCAGGATTATACTCGACTTTGCTGGTTGAGTTATTCTTGGACACAATCCCAGCTCTTTTGCTCTTCAAACTATGATATTCTAAGACCTATGGTATTTTAGAGTCGGAGCTGCTAGGTCTTGTGAAATCCTGATTGTATTTCTGAAGTATTTAAATTTTTTTTTCTTGTTGTTTGCAATATTTTCTCCTTAATCTGGGAGTTTTGAAACTTGGATGTGACATTCCTATAATTTTCCTCCTGGGATTGCTTTCAGGTGGTGAATAACAGATTTTTTTTCTATTTCTACTTTATCCTCTTGTTGTAGAACTTCAGGACAATTTTCCTCAGTAGTGTCTTGTAATATTGTATACAGATTCTTTTTTTGATCATAACTTTCAGGTAGTCTGACAATTCTTTTTTTTTAATTAATTTATTTTGATTTATCAACAATCACTTCCATATGCTTTTGAGTTTAAAATTTTTCTCCCCCTTCCTCCCCACCACACTCCCCAAGACAGCGCACAATCTGATATAGGCTATACATATACATTCCTATTAAACATATATTTACATAAGTGGTGTTGTAAGTAAGAATTAGAACCAATAGGAGGAACCACCAGAAAGAGGAAACAAAACTCAACAGAAGCAAAAAAAATAGCAAATGGTAGGCTTCGATCTGCATTCAAACGCCATAGTTCTTTCTTTGGATGTGGATAGCACTTTCCATCAGGAAGCCTTTGGAGATGTCTTAGATCCTTGTATTGCTGGGAAGGGTTAAGTTTATCAATATTAGTCAACGAACAACACGGCTGTTGTCATGTACAACATTCTCTTGGTTTTGCTCATTTCACTCAGCATCATAGTCTGACAATTCTTATATTGTCTCTCCTCC